AAACCTGATCCACATTTGATACCCTGCAGTTGTCTCTGGATGTGTGTGAGGTAAGCGCAATATTATATCATGGCAACAGTTGATATGATGTAAATAAAAATAGATTTTTACGGTTGGTATGTGCACTGTTGCCTGCTGAGTGTGAAAACATTGGATTGGTTGTTAAAATTTGCCCAGGTTTATCAATGCCATTTATTTGAGATTTCTGCATTGGATTTGTTGAGGTTTTGCCAACAATTTGTTTTCCATTATATTTATGTTTGTTGTTTTTCTTATATCTACAAGCTATTGTAAAATAGTTATGTGCATTTCAGGAACACTACTTAATGTCTCTATTATTGCCCCCCTTTTAGATCTAATTAGCTTTGGTTTCTTTTAGTGGACCAAATGCTGCAGAAACTGCCTGTTATATGCCAGTTTTGATATGAGAGGATGTGGTTTGTAATAGTGTTTCATTTAGTGTTTTCTTATACAGACCACAGTATTAAAATATCTTGCGTATACTTTGAGTTTTGTTCTTTTAATTTTTACATTTTGAGCACACATTTTTACAATTCTCAAAGATATTATTTGATGGCAAAAGTCTTATTTCATAGTTAAACAATTGATTTCTGTGCAGAATCCACATGGCTACCCCATTCCATAAATAAATAGAAAAAACTTCAAAATAATTTGTCATTTTTTTGTTTGTCGTGGCTTTTTTGTTCTTTTGAATGGCCTCATCCTGATAACAAATTTGTTCTTAGTGTCTTGTCAGATGCAATGTCAAATCCACTTAGAATACTGAATATGGAGTGGCAGAATGAAATAAAAACATTTAATATTTAATGAAATGTAAGAATTAGGTAAATTATACTCATGTAATATGTTTTATAAATCGATCACCCTATTATCCTAAGAATCTGGGGTCAATTTAGATAAACGGGTTAAAGCTGCATTATATATGAATACGAAAATCATTGTTTTTGGAGACATTTAATATTTGCATACCAAAACACGAAAATTGATTAAAAAAAGACCGTGATGAATTGATACATATAATAAATACATACATTTAAAATTAAATGTATTACATTAAAGTAATTATAACCTATTGTAATCGCATTTATATGTCATATTTCGTTGAGTTGAGAAATTGAATTATGAAAATGGCTTTTATTCTGAAAAGCTGTTCGTGTGTGCACATATTTGCATCAGCGCCTGGATGGTGTCGCATCCGGTCTTGTTGTCGGGCTTCGCTGCAATAGGGTCTGGCTGCAGAATACGGGGCGAGTGGAGCTCCACTCAAAGGCGGAAGTACGTCACCTCCACTGCGCCGGAGCGTATATATATACGTCATCTCCACTGCGACCGAGCGCATATATACGTCTCCTCTACTGCGACCGTAACTGAATCTAAGCCCAACTTTAATCTTTTTGTGTTGATTTAAAATTATTTTATGACTCTTCTTTTCTAAGAAAGCTGCTAAAACTACTTTGTTGCTTAAAGAAATTATGGTTTCTTTGTAAATCACCTCCTGAATTTATGTGCTTGTTTCGTGATCTTTTTTTTGTTTTTATTTTATCTATTTTTGTACTTGATATATCCCCTGGGATTTGTGTTCAATAAAATAAAAATAAAAAATCTACTGCGACCGAGCGCATATGTTTATGTATATATATACATGTGTGTGTGTGTATATATATATATATATATATATATATCACTGATTCTTGAAACTTTGGCAAAAACATGTCCCACTAAAAAAAGTGCTAATTCTGTTGGAAATTAATAACATTTTCATGAATGAAAAGAATCAAGTTTATAATCAGGGGGTCCTTTGCACATATGCAAGGTTCTTTTATAGGTTTATTTTTCATTTTTATTATTTTAATGATTATATGCTGGCCCATTGCCTACAAAATCAGCTGTCCTCGGATAGGAGATAATCATTTCAACTTGATTAAAAAAACAAAAAGGAATAATTGAATTGAATAATATATTTACCACACAAAAGAGTACATTGTAATATGTATTAAAAACTACAAACATTGAGTTTTAAACAATATTTACTATTTTTTTGTGGTTGTTCAAAATGTGTCCCACATATTCGTCACCACCGTCAGATATTTATAAAAAGCAATAAAATCAGGCAACTACAAGGTCAACTACATTCCTCCATACCCCATTTTCAAACCTTCAGCTTTACAGCATGCTTCAAGATCACTCAAGCTCCCGTAATTTTGCTATTTTCTCTTAAACTTGTTCATATATTTGGGCACTGCTACTGTCACAACCATAACATGTCAACACCGTCTCTTTTGTATAGAAAATATTAGATTAGATTATGACATAATTGTATACTTTTTAAGAAGAGGTCTGAAGTAGCTAGCAACAGAGGGGAAACAAGATGGCTATAATGTGAACAACTCATGCATATCATGTGAAAGAGTAGGTTTTGTCACCACCGTCAGACGTCACCACCGTCAGGTTTTCTATCTGACGGTGGTGACATACCGTGTGACGGTGGTGACAAAACCCCCCAAATGGTCTATAACAGAGGCTAGAATATAATTGTTGATCACAATAAATACCAATATATTATCCTGTAATGTTCCATTCACCTCTTTAATATTTTTATTTATTTAATTCCCCTTATATTTCTTCCATTCAGGCTTACACTGCATGCTACTATTAGCGCGAGTGAGAGTGAGGATGTTTCCTGATATCCTCACGGCTGTGCTTCAGCTGCAGGAATACAGCAGTTCTAATCTGAACATGTTTGATGCGATTAAATTGTGTTTCATGACGTTCATTTAGATTTTTGCCCACACTAAAAATTTGTTAAAGCCTAGCATGGATAGGAGCAGCAATAACCCCCTTGGGGTAAACAGAACAGAACCAACATAAATGTTTTGCAGATTATTTCAAAATTTAAAGTACAATATAATTCGAGAATTTATTCAGATTCTTGGGGAATCAGAATGTCAAGTCCTGACTGACGAGTGGAGCTGGGGAGGGTAATGAGCTCCTGAGAAACGTGATAGCTGATGATAATACTGAAGGAGCTTATACTGTATATGTGTACAGTGATAGGCGTCATATTCCTATAGGGGGAGGTGGATCAGCTAATAGTCGGCTGATGCGAGCTTGACTAACGTGACCTGCCAGAACTAACCAGAACTAAGGATGCACATAGTGCAGCTACTGCCTACCTACACAGCACATAGTATGCACTATCCATTCCAGGCTATATGCATCTCCAATGACTAAAGCCAAATGAAAATGGCATGACATCATTTAAACAAATCTAACATTCGCTGTAATTACCCCCAATTTCATAGTCATTACACTCAACTTTGACTTTATGTATTTTCGAAAGTTATGGCTATAGGCAGCAGCTATATAGAGGAGAGAAGGAGAAGAAACAGGGAATACCGTTGGGGGAAAAGGCGGGAAACTGATCATTGACAGTGCTAAAATACACAGTGAGGCAGAGTTAAATGAGGAATACCTCATAAAAGGAAAAAAATGTTTATCACAGTGCTCAAGATTGTTATTTTTTCGACCAAAGAGTTAAATGAAGTTGTTAAGCAAGAATTGATTGACTTGAGTGGTATACATTGTGGAATTGTATGTTGTAAAGAGGCCACAGTCACCACCGTCAGATTAATGTCACCACCGTCAGTTCTAAAGTCACCACCGTCAGAGGGAGTTTTATTGGTTTTAAATGAATATACTTGAAATATGATTCTTCAGTGCTGTTGAGTTATTAAAATAATAGTCTCTTTTAATACAAAAAATATGTTTGTTAAATAAAACAACATTAATTTTTCTATTTAGGCTTAAAGTAAATGTTGTATGATGTTATATCTTTAAAAAGGAGTACACGCAAAACAGTATAAAAAATGAACAAAAGTGAATATTCAACATTTAACAGCATATATGTGTACCAAGAATGCCAGATAATGATTTAAAAACTCTAAATACATATTAGACCAAACAAATAAAAAATAATTTGCTATTTATTTTGTCTGACGGTGTTGACAAAAACAAAGTGATAACTGGAGAAACGCCTATTTTATGAAAAAAATACAAAATGAGGAGGTTGCACCGGTGCATTGCTGAACAGCCAAGACCTTGCTTTATAATGATATACCTTTAGATTTTGTAATTTAACTAACTTTTTATTTTCAAAATTAAAACCTGTTTTATCCAAATTCCCAAGAATCACTGATATATATTAACCGAGCGCATATATACGTGACCTCGCCCTAATCTTCACACACAATATCAGAGGAGTATACTAAACTTTTACGGTTTATGACTTTTAAATATAATATTATAGTAAAAATAATTTCAGAATTTTCTATTTAAAGCTAAATAACATGTATAAAACAACCAATGTAAAATAATGAAGAATAATTTCCACAATTCAGTTTTAATTGTTTTTATGTAAAAAAAAAAAATCAAATAATCCTAAATTTTTACAACACAATAACTGCAAGGGACCATACTGTAAAAAAAAAAAAAAATACAAATATGAAAAAAGTAATTATTTAGAATTTTGTATTCAAAGCAAAATAACGTGCAAATCAACCACAGTAAAATAATGAAGAATAATTTCCAGTTAATTGAATTGATTAAATATATATATATATATTGACAACACACCTGAATTATGAGAGTGTGTGGTGTGCATGCGTGTGGGGTGTGGTGTGTGTGCGTGTGGGGTGTGTTGCGGTGTGTGTTGTGGTGTCCGTGAGCGGGGAGTGCATGTGGGGTGTGTGATGTGAGTGTGTGGAGCATGTGGGGTGCATGGTGGGGTGTGAGGTGTTGGGTGTGCTTGTGTGTGTGAGGGGTGCGTGCGGGGTGTGTGGTGTGCGTGCGGGGTGTGTTGCAGTGTGCGTGTGTGGTGTGGGTGTGCATGCGGGGTGTGTGATGTGAGTGTGTGGAGCATGTGGGGTGTGCATGGAGGGGTGTGTGTGGTGTTGGGTGTGTGGTGTTGGGTGTGTGGTGTGCGAGTTTGTGTGTTTCTGTGTATGTCTGTATAGTAAGTTAGGTAAAATATCTTAATTTGTGTTCTGAAGATGAACTTACAGGTGTGGAACAAAAAGAGAGTAATTAAGGACCGAATTTTAATTTTGTGGTAAACTAACCCTTTAAGACTGTTAAGTAACAGTCAAAAGTATGATTCATAGAAATTGCCTTCCTTTCATGTTGACAAATGATACAATGTTTTCTCTGCAACCACCACACCTTAGACCTCGTTGACATGAGATGTGTTGCCATGAGGGCTTCCAGTACTTCTTGGTGATGACACAACTGAGTTCTACAAAGCATGCTTTGTAAGTATTATTAATGCATTTTTACTGTCATAGGTTTATTATAATATTTTCAGCTGGAAATATGTAAACCTTACTGTGCATTTATGTTAGTAAGAACAATAAAAAAAGCACCAAAAACAATTATATTGTTAACAGTTATATTTGACTGTGAATGAAATGTGTCATTTCACACAAGTGTATATATTTGACTTATATATTCATGTGAATGAAATGAATGTCAGTGAGGAGGAAGTTTTAATTTTAAATCATTCAGGAGAAATGTAATGTCATGACACCTTTGAAACACTAAAATACAATTAAGGTTAATCTCATAATGTTTTAGTTTAATCAGTAATTCATGTCATATGCAAAGACTTGTATACAAAAGAAAAACAAACTTAATGTTTAAATTTAACTGAATTCCTGGATACACCTGTGTACATAATTCTCAAAAAAAAAAATATGGTTGCGTTCAACTAAACAAAAATATGTCTAATAAAATTTATATCTAGAAAAAAAACTGTACACTGCTAAAATGTATTTAGTAATCTCCAATCTCTTGTCCAGGCTTTTGATGATGGAGACTCGTACCAACATGTGCCAAAATGAAGATGTGGTTCTGCAACCCCTGTCCATCCATCTCTCCCCTCCAAGATGATTCCTCATCATTTGATGAGGATGGGTGATGTAATGGACAATTTAGACAACATACCTCAGGCCATGTTTTGAATGTGAAATCAAATAAATTGTAAGTTCCAAAAAATTATTGTTATCCTTTGTCCTTATTTGTAATGCAGGTGTATCTTTATTAAATAATTTACAGTAAATAGCTATATTTAAATTAAAGTTTTTGGTTTTGTCTACTCACAACATTCATCCCTATTGTAGGTTTCACATATATTGTCTGTGCATAACTGTAAGCCTTTTTAAGTTTAAAGTACCTAAAGTTTTAATTGCACTGCATTAAAAACTTTTAGTTCAATGAACTAAAAATTTTCAATTAAATGCATTTGAAATGTTAAGTACATTAAACTTAAAATATGTTGTTTTTTCAACAATAGAAAATTAACTTTTTTAGGGCAACGAGTTTCCATAAATTTAAGTTCAATCAACCTGTAAGGGCTTACAGTAACAATTCCAATTAGAGAGCTCTCTAATTCAATTCTTACTAGCAACAATTATAATTAGAGAGCTCTCTAATTCAGTTTTTACTAATTACAGAGCTCTTTAATTCAGTTACAGAGCTCTGCAATTATGCATATCTTTAATTCGTTTTTTTACTAGTAAAAACTGAATTAGAGAGCTCTCTAATTATAATTGTTACTAGTAACAATTCAATTGTAGAGCTCTCTAATTGAATTGTTACTAGTAAAAATGCAATTCCGACGAGTAAGGCTGGGTACAATTTAAGCTAAAACGGCTTGCCATACAAAATGGAGATTTGCGTTCGTGCATCTCTTAACTAAAAAAATGTCAAACATTTAAATTAACAAGCAATCAATACAATACTCACATCTGCACACTGTACAAACATTATATTTATAAAAATCGTTAGAATTAATACCTGAAAAGAAGGGGAGAAAATCGCTGATGTCTCCCATAGCGAATGTATGGAATGTTAAAACCCCGCGAATTTACTCCGCCCCGCCCCCGCGAAGTGGAGGTGACGTATTTCCTGTTTGAGAGTGGAGCTCCAGTCGCCCACAGTCTGCAGCCAGACCCTCCTCCTTCGCTGAGATATTCCATCATTTGAATACGATAGCAGGTACAATAAATGCATTATTATAAAGTTGTCGCAACAGGTAGCGTCTAAAATATAGCATATGGTCGGTGCTGGTGTGTATATGCCAATAAATGATGTATCAATTCGCCACCCTAAGAAGGTTGTTAGCAACAAGCTAACGTTAGCCATTGACTCGGCGTTACAATGGGTGGATAATAGCAATACGAAGTTCTTGTGTGTTCTGTATGATAAAACAGGTTGAGACGCCATACACATGTATGAGATAAATATGACTAAATCAATTGTCAAACGTGCGGTAAAATGGAACTGCATCCTCAAAAGACTGTCATATTGTACAAGCAGATTTAACTTTTTATTATTATTATTATTATGATGATAGTACTGTCCTTTTATATGCATGATACTACTAACTATTAACTCACAATGATCTGCTAGTTATTTTAATTTAAGACGAAGAGATGATTATATTTAAACTTCTCGTTTGTCTGTTAGGGTGGTCATTTCCCATCATCATCATCCCTTTACAGAAGCATGGCTGAGCCAGAGCTCCTCCTGGACTCCAACATTCGCCTTTGGGTTGTGCTGCCTATTGTGTTTATTACTTTTCTGGTTGGAGTGATCCGCCATTATGTCTCGATTCTGTTACAAAGTGACAAGAAGCTCACGTTAGAGCAGGTCTCGGACAGGTAACTTTCATCGGACTGTTTCATTATCCATCCTCATGCGTTTTGCACAGTGTATTACAGAACATTAAAAATGTCTGCTTCATGTTCTCAACACAGCCAGGTTCTCATCCGGAGCAGAGTTTTACGGGAAAATGGAAAATACATCCCCAAACAAGTGAGCCCTTCTTATCTTTTTGTGTCTTTTGATTGAGGCGATACCGTAGCACTGAAACCGAAATGTTATCTCTTGCTAAACCAGTCTTTCTTGATGAGAAAATTCTATTTCAATAATCAAGAAGATGGATTTTTCAAAAAAACCAAAAGAAAGGTAGTCCCACCCTCTCCAATGACTGGTGAGTCGTTCTAAACTGACATTCTTTTATGCATATATTACATACTAAAATGACAGTCAGGATTGAGTGACAAGGTTAATGTGATGATATTATGCCTATTATGACAAGGTTAGTGTTATGCTATTTACTCAATTAGATCCCAGCATGTTGACGGACATGATGAAAGGCAATGTGACGAATGTCCTGCCTATGATTCTTATTGGTGGTTGGATCAACTGGACCTTCTCTGGGTTTGTCACAAGTAAGAGATACAGTTTTTGTTAACAAATATGGCTTCTTGTTGTCCATTCTCAAAGAATTCATCTTAACACTCGTGTATAATTCTGTTCTCTCCCAAGCAAAGGTACCGTTCCCTCTCACTCTCCGCTTCAAGCCGATGCTGCAGCAGGGAATTGAGTTGCTCTCTCTAGATGCCTCCTGGTTAGGGCTCTCACAACCTTGAGTGTTTTTTCATGTTCTTGTTTTATTCAAAGCTGTATCTTTAAATAATCTCGTGCTGTATGCCTCCACAGGGTGAGTTCAGCATCTTGGTATTTCCTCAATGTCTTTGGTCTCAGGAGCATGTATTCTCTTATTCTCGGACAGGACAATGGTAAATAACTTTTCTGATGTGCCGATTCAATACACCATAATTTTGACCTACTCCAAAGGTGATGCCATATAGTAAAATTGATCTAAAATAATGTTTTAAAATCTAATTTTGCCAATTGAACTAAAATGTATACTGTAGCAATAGCTTTTACCTTAAATATTTGCCCTAAAATTCTAATTCATTTTAGAATATGTATATTTTTGAGATTTGTATCATTTACTTAGGATAGGCCCTATATGTCAAAGTCCCTTTCAAGTTGGTGGCCTTATTTGCAACGACTCCGGGCAGCAATTTCGGTCATTAAAAAACGTACATTTCAGAAATGCAATTGTCTATCAATTGGGGATTGTCTCTTATTTACAAGGTGGGACTTGGGTTGCCTATTATGAGTGCACCATCTATCTGAAGGCTTTGCTGTATATGAATTAATTTTCATACATTTGCAACAGGTGCAGATCAGTCTCGCATCATGCAGGAACAGATGAGTGGTGCCGCAATGGCAATGCCTGCTGACACAAACAAGGCATTCAAGGTATCGGCTAAACTCTAACGTTAATGTTTATTCTGTTATTTTTGTGTTTATTTTATATATTATTTTGAAGCTGAAAATGAAATCTCCCTATTTTTTAAAGATCTTTGTGTATAAAAGTTATGTACTTTCTGTTCTTTCTAGGCTGAATGGGAGGCACTGGAGTTGACCGATCACCAGTGGGCCTTAGAGAATGTTGAGGAGGATCTGATGAGTAAAGACTTGGACATGTCTGGGATGTTCAGCAAAGACTTGCCAACGGGCATCTTCTAAGTACCTGTCTACTACTGAGAGGTTTTGGAGGACCTCATGAAATTACAAGAGTGAATTGTTGGACTGGTTGTTGGAGTGACAAAACGCTTCAATTCAGATTTCTAGAAAGCATCATAAAGCTCATTGCAGACACATAACATGATGTGTCATTAGCATGCAGCAATCCCTCCATCATTCATTTTTGAGCAGACTTAAGTGTCATAGTGTTACAAAGCTTTGAGCTTAAAGCTTTTTAAATGATCTCTTGCGACTGCATTCATACAACGCAACAGAAACATTACCATGCTGCACCCCATAGAGTAGCATGTGGCCTGGTTTTCTTGAAAACATTCCCTAATGATTATTACTGTTGTCTTTTATTTTTGATTTAACAACTTTACATTATTAGTTGGTTTAAAAGCCCATTGTTCTTGTTTTACAAGGAGCATTTGATTGTTTGGACCAAGTAGGCAAACAAGTTGTTTTAGGAAGTGTGATTTTAAAAGTAGAACAGTCCATAACTTAGGTTCAGTTACATTAATAGTATATTGCTAGCATTTTAGATGGTTACTTATGGTGCCAATAATACACCATGCACTGAATATGTAGTAAAAATACTACTTTTTTGCCATTAAACTAATTAAGATTGGAGATTAAGATTTATTTGACTTCTATTAAACATTATCGTTGGTCTTATAAAATAAGTGTTTTAACTACATTTACTGGATGTGTAGATTTTTAATACAGCCTGTTTTACTAAACCGTGACGTACTGTTCTGTATTCTGTATTTATTTTATGATTTAATTTATTTTTCTGAAGATAAGCGGATCCACCATTAAAGTTGAGATAAAGTCTTATTTGTTCTTTTTCTTTATAGAATGATGTTCCAAAACTTGTCATTCACTATTTTTATCAATATGTTACAATTGGCTCTGCCTCTTAAGATGGATGTAACCAAATTCTTTTTCCCCCCAATTATTCAGATTCAACTGCTGACATTCTTCATAATATGATTTAGCCTAAATATAATTTGCATCTACATTAAAAATACTAAGATTTGTTTACTTCTCGTTTTTTAAACATTCTCATAAAATGCTATTTATTAAAACCAATTTCATTTCATGTTAATAAAGCCGTTATACAATTAAGTCTCGAGCACATATTCAGTAAATGATTTTGAATCTTGTTTGTAACCAGACAGTTGATGGCATAGTATTTATTTGTTCTACTATGGAAGTCAATGGCTGCCGTCCGTCAACTGTCTGGTTAAAAAACATTCTTTAAAATATCTTCTTTTGTGTTAAAAAAAGATGGACTCATACAGATTTGGAACAACAAGGGTGAGTAAGTGCGGCTCTGAGTAAGGATGACAAAAGTAAAAATGTTTGGTTTACTAGCCTATCCAGTTCAGAGACTGGTTTTGTGAACCGGTTCAACTGATGCATCGAAAAGATTCGACCGTTCAATTTAAAGCTCAATAAATATAACATAAAATAATTTCATGAACAATGTGACAAAAAGGTCCTGTCGGTCAAAACGTGTATTAGCGGCTGTCAGGGATGCGGACACCAATCTGTTTATTTATCTTCCCAGAGCCCCGACTTTTAATGAAGGACGGTTAAATATATTTTAATTATCCACCGCACCGCACCTTCTTCATGTAACTACTATTCGAGTTCGGCAGCCTAGTAAGCGCGCTCCCTCTACTAGCGCTGCGCGTCCCCTGTATACTTCAGCGCGCTCGCGATTACTGCGGGTTCACTCGCTGCACGATGGCGGAGGGAGGCGGACCCGAGTCGGGTACCGCTTCGGACCCTGACGAGAAGCCGGTGATCACACAGACACCAGTACCGTCCACCGAGAGTCAAAAGCAGAGCATCGGTACACTGCTGAAAACGCCACTTCGAAAGGGAGACGAGTGGTAAGAGGTTTTAAATAAAGCCGAAATCAAGGAACGCTTGTCGATATCAGCTCAGGCCTACTGACGGAGACACCGGCTGCCGGAAATCCCTTCACTAGCTGGGCTGTGGACAACAACCTGCTTCGCTAACACCCATAAGCTAGCAGGCTCTCGTTATAATCAAGGCGGTGTACACAGCAAGCCTGCGTTTTAACATAATAAAGATTTAACACTATTTATGTCGGTTAGAATACGAGGAAGCTGTCTTGTAGCTAGTTAGCACAGATTAACCAGCCGTAGCTTTTATATTTCACCTCAACTGTCCAACTTCTACTGCTTAAATGTCTACTTTTATGTAATAATAAGACGTTTTCAGGCACGTTAGTAGTCTAAGGGTTGGTAAATAAACGCAGCCACCCCGTTGTCGGTTATCAGTTCTCTGATAACAGCGTCAGGCATGTTAAGACACTTTATTAGCCGAGGCTAGTTAGCCAGGCTAGTTTGTGTTTCATTGCCGAATTAAGTGTTATTTCCTGTCAGACGTCAAATTTACTTGTGAGGAACTGTCAAACTAGATTAAAATTACTGTCCAATTTCTTCCTGTGAAGTTGTGGGGAAGACTAAGCTACCTAAACGAGTATTACAGTAAGGCAGTGCTTTGTCATGGCCTCTGGATAACACCCAGTCACTCGCTATGTTGTTTGCCAGTAGAAGAGTCTATGACACTGATATTAAACACACACACAAAATACAATTGGAATTAATGAAGCTTAAACTGCAAACACGTATATACAATATTTAGCCTGTAAACCCGTTAGTATATGAAAGTATTTGGATAACCTGTCAACTTTTATTTTGTAACCGTGTGTAAGAAGAGACTAGTGACTCATTTGAATGGACATTTAAGTTTCAGTAGGATTAAAAGTACTTTCAGTATAGACTTGTACTAAAACTAATTAATTGAATCAAGCAAGTAAATACTTGTGTTGTTAGTTAAGGTCACTTTACTTTGTTTATTTCAAAAAGTTAATTAATTATGGAACTCTATCTAAAAATAATGGCTAATTTGCCTCATTTTTTTTCTCTAATGCTCAGTCTTTTCATTAAATTTAAAAGATGTTAGACTGAAAGTTATTATAAAGTCTTATGTTAATAAGCAATGACAATTTTGACTATTGGGTGACCCATCCTTTTTAATTTAGACTTTTGTCGTTTCTTATCAAATTATAATGTCTGTCCATTGGCGGAGTGGAATCAAGGGCTAACAAGCTTATGTAGTGGAACAAGTTCCTACTTTGGATGAGATTAAGAAAGACCTTATTGACCTTAGTGAATATCCTTATTGACTGCTCTATATTGGTAGATGTGTAAGAACACAATAGATATTTACGATGCAATCAGTTTAGGCCTTACTCTTTAGTAGGCAAACATATTTATTGTCCTTTTTCCCCTGACTTTCCCTTATCTCACTCTATTGTTCTACTTGTTTAGGTATTTGATTGACAGCCGGTGGTTCAAACAGTGGAAGAAATATGTGGGCTTTGACAGCTGGGATTTGTACAATGTTGGAGAGCACAATCTGTACCCAGGACCCATTGACAACTCTGGACTCTTTTCAGGTAATGAATGTTGAGTATTGTGCCTATATTTGCTTTTTCACACTCTCATAGATGGGTGTTGTGAAAAATGGGTTTATTTTGCCAGCAGTAAAACGTTCATTTTTTGTTTTGTTAATATAATACTGGAGACTTTTTTTTATTAGCTTTTAAAAATATGAATGCTTACTCCATTATGTATGTGAATATCTGATTTAAAGCTGTGTGGGTAATTTAATTTTAAGGTGCTTACAGACAGTGCTGGACTGGGACTAAAAAGTGGCTCTGGAATTTCTGGCACAGAGCGGCCCACGGTACCCGGTCCGCAATACACCAAACATAACACAAATGCTCATTTTGCGCTGAGCAATTTTTAATTCAGTTCAAATTTATTTGTATAGCGCTTTTCACAATACATATACATATTGATTTTAAAGCAGATTTACAGAAAGTGCATTTCAGAAATGTACATAGAAAAATACAGTTAGTCAATCATGTATTAATTTAGGGCATAACATATCGCCGGCGATGAGTCGTCTCTTCACAGGCGTTTAGTCATCTCATCCCAGGTGTTGGGGCATCGGAAGTCTCCATGAGAGTCTAGATCCAAACTGGAGCTGAAGAACGCTATTTACCTCAGGACTAGCGTCCCAAGATAACAGCAGAAAAGCAGATGGAAAATAATTAGCATCGCTACTGTTCATGATATTAATGTATTTGATCTGATTCAACAGTGGTATAAAAGATAAGCATTATGTGAATGCTTGGCTAAAGAGATGCGTCTTTAGTCTAGTTTTAAACTGGGACAGCGAGTTTGAGCCTCGAACAATATCAGGAAGGCTATTCCAGAGTTTAGGAGCTAAATATGAAAACGCCCTCCCTCCTTTACTTGACTTAGAAATCCTTGGAATGACCAGAAGCCTTGAATTTAGTGATCTTAAAGAACGTGATGGATTGTAGGGCGATAGAAGGTCCATTAAATACATAGGTGCTAGACCATTTAGGGCTTCAGAGGTCAGTAGTAATACTTAGTAATTGATATGGAACTTAATAGGTTACCAGTGTAGAGATGATAAAATTGGTGTTATATGATCATATTTTCTTGACCTAGTGAGAACTCTATCAGCTGCATTTTGCATTTTACACATTTTGCTTTTTTGAGGATGCAGAACAACCAGCTAATAAAGCATAACGGTAATCTAGTCTCGAGGTCATGAATGCATGAAGTAACTTTTCTCTGTATTAGAAACCGATAGAATGTTACGTAGCTTAGAAATGTTTCAAAGGTGCTAAAAGGCTGTTCTTGTAACATGAAATATGATTTTCGAAAAACAAGTTGCGGTCTAGTATAACACCCAGGTCTTTTACGGTAGGTGGCTTGACAATAAGGACTGTCCGATGCCCTGGGGCATTTGTGCACATTTTTAAGCCTTGCCAATTTAAATATTCAAGTGCAAGTAAAAGCGAATGTACCCACGGATGAAAAGTTTTGTGCGCAGTAATACGGTTCCAAAATGCTGCGTCTCTCAGCGCGAGGAATACTCTTTTCACGTCTTCCTGAGCTTGCATGGACGTATTCGCACGAAATTGTCAAATTGCCTGTCTTGTCGAGTATCATCTTAAACATAGGCAGTTAAACATTAAATATAAACATTAAATGTTATTGTGTGAGATAATATGCATATGTAACAGTATACTGGATCGGTGCAGCTCTTAAAGTGACAGCATCCTAATATTCCTGCTTCTGTCTGTTTTTATATATGAATCAAATATAAGACAGAAAAAAAAACTCGCTGCTCTTGACTGAATAACTGTAATAAGGATTAATCTGTTTATACAGTAAAGACTAAAGTGATATTTTACATTTGATTACTATTTCTTTACCCTACTTGAAAATCTAGTTAAGACCTAAGTGAAAAACTTGAAAAGAACGGTTCATTTCATTTGTATATTTGTTCTGTTGTGATTATTTGTGCCATCACTCGTAATTTGACTATGTTTTTATTTTATTACTGTCTGATTGTCTGTAACCATATTTAAAATCTTTGCTATACGAATTAGGTTAGTAGTTTTTGGTGCCATAACCTTATTTATTAAGGTTCCATGGATCAAAAGCAACTTAAACAATAACTAGGCCTATTTTATTTCATTTATAACTTTTTTTGTGGTGGGGCCAGTGAAAACTTTGTCAGGGCAAGTACAAATTTGAACCACTGGCCCAACCTCACAAGTAGAATAAAATCCTTAGCGCTGAGACCTGTACTAACTTAAAAAATATAACAATAAATGTATATAAATAATATTTACATTTTTTTTTTACTGCATTAGAATAATTTGTGCGTATCTAAATTAATAATAAATAAATAAATGCAATTAGCAATTAATAATAAGAGATTATAGTGTTAACAATCAAATGAAATCAGACAAAATCCATCGTTGCTCTGCAGAAGTGGCACGGAAGCTGCATTTGAAGTGGCATTTAAATGAATTTAAACGTACTGCTTAAAAATGCATAAATGTAACAATATTGTTCAAAATGAAATATGAAATTGTGGGGACAAAAAAATTCAATCGAAAACTAAAACCGCTGGGAAAAGTCCCGGTGCTCCAGATGGCCAGTCTGCCCCTGCTTACACAGTATTTAGTTTTGACATTTCAGTCTTGAAGGAATAGTTCACCCAAAAATGTAATTCTTTACTTTTTCACCCTTGTGTTATCCCCAACTCAACTTTATTTCTTCAGTAGAACACCAAAGGAAATGTTTTTCCTTTCTCTTCCATGACTCTTCCAAATAAAAACTTTTCATATTTTTTTTTTTTCTAAATGATTCGTTCATGAATCGGATTGATCTGATTCTCGAGTTCAGTTCACTGACTCAATTATACTCCAATATACTGTCTAATTTCTTGAGATAACGGCACACTGGAGGGGAAAATTGAATAATTACCCACCTATCACCCAAAGCTATCATGTGACTTTGGAAGACTTGGAATATAGCTGTGTAGGCATTTTTATTGGTGCTTTTAATTATTTTTTAAGCTTGAAATCTCCTTCACAAAACGACAAGTACATTTCCCAAAACCTCTCCTTTGTGTTTTATTGAAGAAATACATTTTTCACATTTTCACCATGATTTTCTGAGCCTAGCATGGCTTTTTCTGTTTGATAATACAGTGTATTGTGTTAAAGGGTTATTCTATGTTTTCTAATGTGTTTTTCAAACGATTTCCCCTTTTCTCTCTTTATCATAGATCACGAGTCCCAGACGTTGAAAGAGCATCTCATAGATGAGTTAGACTATGTTTTAGTGCCTACAGAGGCCTGGAATAAGCTGGTCAGCTGGTATGGCTGTCTGGAGGGTCAGAAGCCCATCATCAGAAAGGTTCCCCCATTTCTTAGTTTTGCTCTGTTGCTTTGTCTCTTTCTTTATTTGTGATGCTCATAACGTAGCATTAATTTAAAATTTTGCTTGCTGTTTAAAATTATGATTTTCAGATTGTGGTAGTCTCTTTCTTTTTTATGTTCCTTTTTGATGCCTTTATGATGAACACAGGCAGAGTGGTACATGGTTCTATTATTTTTATGTGGTAATTGCATTGAAACAGTTACATACTTAATGATTTACATACTTTACAGAGATGCTTTGAATGCTTTTCTTTTGCTGTGTCTTTTGAGTGTTAATTAGTTGTGTTTTGAAAACTTGTTTTCCAGGTTGTTGAACATGGAATGTTTGTGAAGCACTGTAAAGTGGAAGTGTATTTACTTGAGCTGAACTTGTGCGAAAATGACAACATGGAAAAAGTTGTCACCCGCCATTTCAGCAAAGCAGACACTATAGGTATGAGATTCATAATAAAATATCAGTTTTCCTCCACAGTAGTATTTGCATCACTGATTTTATCCATTATCAGAGTTACAGAAAAATAAAACTGTTCATTCGTTTTAATTGTTTACAGCTTTTATCAGCAGCTCTGCGTGTGTTTCTTTTCAGTTCGAACTTGAAATTGCTCTTATAAAAGTTGGGTTGCCGTCTGTACATTCATTAATTTAATTATTTATTTATTTTTTCCTCTAGATACTATTGAGAAGGAAATGAGGACTTTATTCGACATCCCATCTGAAAAGGAAACTCGTCTTTGGAATAAATATATGAGTAACACTTATGAACAACTTAACAAGCTTGACAGCACTGTACAGGACGCAGGGCTTTTTCAGGGGCAGGTAAACCATTGTGCTTTATTCCATTCCACTTGTGGTTGGTTTGAGGCTGATTGACATTTTCAGAGGGTTTATGAATTCACATTATCAATCTCATCTAATTCCTCAGGTGCTTGTTATAGAGAAGAAGAATGAGGATGGCACATGGCCCAGACAGACCTGCCATTCCAAGTATGTACATGCAGTTTAGGTGGCTCTCACACTTAAGCAGCTTAATGTAAAAAAGCTGCTAGTTTCACAAGTGGAGTAGTTTAATCAGTTAATTATTAAAATTGTGTTTCTAAAATTGCTTTGAATAACCTTAACATAATTCTTTGATGTATGCTTAGGTCCAGTACTTCCACCTCTCGGAATTATACAACCTCCCCAAAACTCTCTTCGAACTCATCTGCTACCATATCCTCCACAATAACAAATGGGGATAGCAATAGCAACTCTGGCTACATGCTGAACAACAGTTCTTCTGGTAACAGGTCAGCTGAACATTTTACAACATAAAACTACCTCAAATTACTCCACAGTTAGTTTAGTTCCTTACTGAGAGAATTTAAACTGAGAACTGAAACAAGGTCAGGTTTCCTGTGTTCAGCATTTGGTTGACCGATTGTGGTGGTCTAAATGGGTTTAAATTGTGCTGTTAATTGTCTTTGCTAACCCACCATATCTGTTGCAGATTGGGAAGTTATAACTCCTACAGCTCCTCTTACAGTTACAGAGAATCTGCCGCTCAACCAGGTCTCTGCGGTCTGAGTAACCTGGGCAACACCTGCTTCATGAACTCTGCCCTCCAGGTACTAAAGTGCACATGCATTGCATATTTTGAAATCTGAAATTTGCTTTCTTTTACTCATGGGCACTTGGTTCAGCTGATGGCCGTCGATAGAAAAGATGGGCCCAGATGGTGTAGTTATGACATCTAGCAGTTAGCTAGATCATGCTAACCGGCCAAACCATTATTGCTTATTTAACCCTATTGATTAAGACAATTTTTCTTTTAATTCCAGTGCCTGAGCAATACTCCCCCTCTGACGGAATATTTCCTGGAGGACCGGTATGAAGCTGAGATCAACCGGGAAAATCCATTAGGGATGCGAGGGGAGATTGCAGAGGCCTACGCAGATCTGGTCAAACAGACGTGGCTTAGTCGGAGCAGTTACGTGGCTCCACGCACTTTTAAAGTGAGTGAATCTGTGTTTGATAAGTTACTCTGGAAGTCAATTTACATTTCCAACACACACTCTTAATTTGAATGTTAAGTTTCTCCTCTCTCTGTTCAGACCCAGGTGGGTCGGTTTGCCCCGCAGTTCTCAGGGTACCAGCAACAAGACTCTCAGGAGCTGCTGGCCTTTCTGCTAGACGGCCTACATGAGGACCTTAACCGAGTTAAGAAGAAGCCTTACCTGGCCCTGAGAGATGCTGAGGGACGGCCTGATGAGGTAAACCTCAAATCATGATGTGTAAACCACAACAAGACATGCATTTTAGTTAACAACCAAATTAGAAGTAACCAAAACGACCAGGATGAAGCTATAGTGCTGCCAAAGCCAAAGCATTTTGATGGCCCCCTGGTGGCTGCCTGCAGAATAGTCCATAAACATCACCCTCTCCATGTAATCGAATGTGACACAAGACCCAATTAACAGTTCAAATATTTTTTTACAAAGATTTTTGGTCATTTTTTTGTGTTTATTGTTGCAATAAGTTTAAATTTAGTTAGTTATTAGATGCTGTAAAAACGGGATGTAACGTCATGAAAATTTTGGGCCTTAAATTGAAGAATGTTGCTTGACTTTTGGGTATCTCATTTGTCTGTAGATTGTAGCTAAGGAAGCATGGGCGAATCACCGGTTGCGGAATGATTCCATTATCGTGGACATCTTCCATGGCTTGTTCAAATCTACACTGGTCTGCCCAGAATGCTCCAAAGTTTCCGTTACCTTTGACCCATTCTGCTACCTCACGCTGCCCCTGCCCATGAAAAAGGATCGCACTATGGAGGTGTTCCTGGTCCGCACTGACCCGCAGTTCAGACCCATGCAAGTAAGACCTGTTTTCCTGAAAACACTCAGGCACAGGTTTTAGTTCAAGATGTAGGCTAAAAGATCTATTTGTTATCTTCCAGTACCGTGTAGTGGTTCCCAAAATGGGTGTTGTAGCAGACCTGTGCAGTGCTTTGGCCAAGCTATCTGGACTTCCTTCAGAGAATGTAAGACTTTTTCTGTTCCTGACATTTCAACCTAACAATCACCTTTCCATTTATTTATGATTCTTAGTTCCCTTAAAAATAGAAAAATTGGCCTGCTGTTCCAAACCCATTTAGCTTTCTTGAAATAAAGCATGTACATTTTAGTCATGAATTTGAGGCAGAATGAGGTTGAGTAAATAATGTCTTTTCACTTTTGGAAGAAAAAATTATAGTGGACTGTCTGAGACTTAGTATTCCTGCTTTGACTCTTCTAGATGGTTGTGGCAGATGTTTACAATCACAGATTCCACAAAATCTACAAACGGGATGACGGTCTCAATCAAATAATGGAGAAGGATGACATTTTTGTGTAAGCCATCTCTTAAATTCTACTTGCCAATACTGTTCAAAAGTTTGGGGTCGGTAAGATCAATGTTTATGAAACGAGTCTCTTATGCTCACCAAGGCTGCATTTATTTGATCATAAATAAAGTAAAAACTGCAATATTTTTAATTTTATTCATTTTACTTTACTTTTGAATCCATTTTATTTATTCCTGTGATGGCAAAGATGAATTTTCAGCAGCCATTAAGTTCAAAAGAACAACATTTAATTTAATAACATCTTACTTACTGATTAAAAAATCTTACTGACCTTAAACTTTTGAATGCTTATGTTTGTTCATTGTGTTGTATTACATAATGTAGGTTTTGCCAGTTCAGCTGAGTGTGTTTTGGTTAGTGGTCTTTTACTGATTGTGTCTGTGTGGTTTAGTTATGAGGTGTTAGAGGAAGATGGTGAGAGGATGAACCTGCCAGTGTACTTCAGAGAGAGGCATGCTAAGCACAGTGGAGGCTCTTCAGGCACAATGCTCTTTGGCCAGCCTCTCCTCATAACCGTCCCGCGCCACAACCTCACCGTGGATACCCTCTATGAGCGTGTGCTGGAGAGGATCGGGTTGGTATTCTGCTTTATTGGTCTACTCTATTCTAATGTTACACTGATTCTGTCATTTCTCACTTGGTTGACATTTTTATTCTCTTGTTTTAGGCGTTACGTTAAACGTTCACAGGGAACCATTACAGACAGCAGAGCATCTGCATCTGCCTCAGCCACATCGTCTAGCAGCAGCCAATCACCAGAATGCCTCGCTTCAGTGTCCACTCACAGCACAGGGCTGAGTAGTTGCAGCAGCCCAGTTTCAGATGGAGCATCCTGCAGTGCTGGATCCAACGGCAGCAACCACTCCAGCAACGGCCCCAATGGAGTCTGTGATGGTAGGACACTCCAACTTGTACCAAATGCTGTATTCATATTCATCCATTTTAGATTTTTTTTTTTTTTTAATCCACCCCAGACATCTGATACGGGTATGATTTTATTGTATGCATGTGTCTTAGGTGATGAGGAAGCCATGGACCACCAGGAGAGTCCAGAACCAGAAAACAGCCACTCAGACACTGTGGATGGAGAGGATGATTCTGAACCAGAGAATGGGCCCAATAGCAGCGGTGGAAAATCTTTTACTTCTCGGCCAAAACTCTTTTCTTTCAGCATGGTCAATTCCTACGGCACAGCCAACATCAGTTCTCTCCCGTTTGATGGAAATCTCCTAAAGCTCACAAGTAACTATCACATTTTTTACATTTCATAGAAAAAATTGATCAAATGAATCAGGTGATTCATTAAATGTGAAACACTTTTTGTCTAATGTGGACTCTTTAGGATCACTTGCATGATATCCTCAAGTCAAAACTGATAGATATGCCTTTCTACAGCACACTCAACAGTAGCCATTGACTGGGACTCGGACACGAAGAAACTATGCTACGATGACCAGGAAGCTGAGGTAATGATCTCTATTCCACTTACTGTTCAAAACTAAACTTTTTACATGTTTGGGGCCAAGATTTTTTTTTTATGCTCACCAAGGCTGCATTTATTTGAACAAAAATATAAATGGTAATATTGTTAAATATTTTAATAATTTTTTTTAATGATTTTGGGGTCTGCTAGAACAGGATTTCATGCTTGAATGTTTAAAAAACACATTATTCTTCCCAGTCTATCAGTAACGCTCTGGGCTGCGTTTCCTGAAAGCATCGTTAGCAACTATGGAAAAAATATTCTCTGTGCTTTTAGTCCTGTCTAAATGTGCCACCTCAGTAATCATAATGGACAATATCAATAAAGATTATGGATACTTTTACCTTCAGTAAAAAGGTCTGGAAAAATTACCTCAGTGTACCAAACCAATCCCATGCGAATAGACCTGCTGTAAAGATGTACGTAAAGATTCCACGGTTTTTCCAAGTATGGAGATGCTTGAAAAAGCATTCGGTTGTGTTCTAGACGCTGGGACGAGTCTGTGGCAAAACTCAAGTGTTTTCCACATACCATTCAGATCAGAAAGAAGATCGAAAGCATTTGTTAGAGGCATGAAACATCTTTTAGCATTATGTAAGTGCCTATTCCCAACACAATCCAATCTAAAGTTAATACATCGTTTGACCGGAATTAACTGTGTTATATATATATATATAAAAGTGTACCAAACCAATCCTGTGGGAAAAAGTGTACCAAACCAATCCCAACTGTTTAAATATAAAACATATCTTAACAAACATATCAAAACATATATTTATATCTACCCTTGTAAACTTAATCCTGTCGGAATAGGGCTTTTGTGCTTTGCAATATTGCTGACCATTTTTCATGCTCAAACAGTAACATAACACTAAAGTCAGTCCAAAAAAGGTGAAAAAGCATAATCTATCTTTTCAAAATCGACTAGTTGATGGGTTGTTTAAATGACTAGTTGATTGATTAATGTTGAGCGAGTCCAGTGTAATTGGCGTCCAGTGAGATGTGACAGTGGTCATCTGGTCAAAAATTTTGCTACCTGTGCTAAGTGTCTTGGGACATTAATGTGAAGTCTCTCCCCAGGCCTATGATAAACATGAGAGTATGCTACATGCTCAGAAGAAGAAGACCACAGTAGCTTTACGAGAGTGCATCGAGCTCTTTACTACAATGGAGACCCTAGGAGAACATGACCCCTGGTGAGGAGCCCCTGTTTCCAAGGTCAAATGTTTTACCAAGTATGACCACATTTAGTGCAGTTGTAATGATGTGTATGTTTGCTGTGCTCCTCTGTAGGTACTGCCCCACGTGTAAGAAACACCAGCAGGCCACAAAGAAGTTTGACCTGTGGTCTCTCCCACGCATTCTTGTTGTCCATCTGAAGCGTTTCTCTTACAACCGCTGCTGGAGAGACAAGCTCGACACGGTCGTGGACTTTCCAATTAGGTAAATCAGTTGTGAGACAACAGATGACAAAATTGAATGACCATCATGATGGATGGATGGATCAATGAAGTGATGGATGGAGAGAGATATTTTAATTTAAATAAATATTTATGTAATATATGGTGTTCATTCTAAATTATATAATATCTTAGAGGTTCTGTATGCAACTTTTTTACTTTACTAAAGCAGAAAATTCCATATGTTTGCAGATATTTAGAAAAGCTCACATACTCGTTTCTCTGAAAAACACTTCTACAGCCAGTTATTTTACTGATTATTTTACACGTTCCGTGTTGTCAGTCGGGTTTTGTTTTGGTCAGTGTGATCTCGCCCACTGCCTGTTCACCCAATAGTATTTCGACACCCCTTGGGAACAAGCAAACAAACTGGTCAGAGATTACAGATTCCACGCAACCTAAAAAGCCTCGGTATCCATCTAAAAATCTCTATGAACGAGAGCATAAAACACGGATAAATCAACTGTTTTCGTCGTCAATTGCGTTTGCTCCTGTTGTGTGTCCTCAAACTGGCAACCCACGTGAGCCTTGAGTCTGTGGCGGAGGGACAGAGAGACAACAGTCTCTCATTTTTGAATTTGGACTGCAGACTAACTGTTTTTATAGATAAAACTATTTACATTCGGCAATCATGGAAACAAATCTCAGATAACGGTTGACTAGGTAACAATGTGTAATTAGACCAAAGGTTCATTTTGCGCCGGAGTTCTCCTTTAAATTATGACTCCAGTGTATGCCGTCTTTATGTGAAGCGCTTCTGTTAATTTCCCAGCAGATGGCGCCAAATTCTCTCCTCGCCCACACAGAAATAGGTATTCATTGTCTTAGGCCAGTTTCGGGATGGCATCTGACTTCAGGTGTGCATTTTTATTGGTACTTTTTTTTCATTATAGTTCATTTTAGTTATAATGTAACATTAATTCGTTGCATACAGAATATTGACGCTTCAGATACAAACAATGCCATACTTTTGGGAAATTTGTTTTTCTCAATGATATTTGCCTCGAGCATTTAGCATTCATCCCATTTGGGTGCTCTAGGTCATCTCACTGAACAGGAAGCAGGAAAGAGTGCACAGAATTCAGGTGCATTGCAACAGGTGTCGAGTTTCTGGGAAGCTGAGTCATGCTTGCCTGGACAGACAAACCCATCCATTGTTCATTGTGGCAAGTGCAGTAGACTATAGTACTGGTAGTCTAGTACATGGATATAAAATGTGGTTGAACTATAAAATAATCAGTTCCAACTGGCACTCTTTTCTGTTAGCAATTTTCATATTTGGTAGTTTTTTTTTTGTTTTTTTTGTGAGTGTTTTGAGAATAGTTTTATTTTTATTTTGACTTAAAGCTTCAGTCTGTAGCTTTTTTTTGGTTAAAAATGATCCAAAATATATATTTTAGAAAATACACAACCAGCCAGTGTTCAAAACTTAGCTCGATTCAACGCGGTAAGCTTGTAATAATGTTTTTAACACGGTTTTGTGTGATACACTTTTTTTTAGCTTTAACCAGTGCGATTTACTGCAATATCAGAACCAGAACGGATGTTTCTTAGTAGTTCAGAGGACATTTTCCGGTGAAAATTCTTGTTGGTCATACTTCCAAAAAGAATAATCTGTGATTCTCAATGCCAGTAATATCCACACCGGCGAGGTGGCTGACAGCCTCACAGTCTGCTCAAACCGTGTGTTCACCCGCGTTGCGCGGTGTCGATAAAGTTGATAATGCCGCGGATAACTGCAATTGCAGATTTTGAACAGAGAGGGCGACAAAGAGGAAAAACGCCGGACTGCAGCTTTTGGAACTTCTGGAATTGTCATATTTTCATGTTTTTAAATGAATGTTAACTTTCTTACACAGGGATTTAAACATGTCAGAGTTTGTTTGCGACCCCAAAGCTGACCCATATGTCTATGACCTCATTGCTGTTTCCAACCATTATGGAGGAATGGGTGGAGGCCACTGTAAGTCAATTTGTTTTCTGCATGTCTCCCATTATTTCATAACTCTGTAATTCCCTTTAAGTGAAATCACATCCAATCTATTGTCCTTTATCTTTATACTTTCTTTTGCAATTATATTGATGCATAACTGGCCAAGTCACATGTTGTGTCAGCAGCCTTTTATTTGCACATCATCATGATATCTCATGTTTGATAGACTTCTATAGAAACTTTAACACCTAGTTGATCATTTACATCTTTGTCATTGTATTGCTGCCTGGAAACGATAATTTAGTTAGTTTGTTTTGGATTACGCAAGTTCAGCGGTTGAGCAATACGTTTCATTCATCTTTCAGACACGGCATACGGCAAGAACAAGATGGATGGAAAATGGTATTACTTTGACGACAGCAGTGTGTCTGCTGCTACTGAGGATCAGATTGTGGTGAGACTCTACACGTCTACTCTTTCCCTTTTATTAAAATATATGCTTTTCCATCCTTTTCTGACTCGTAAAGCATTCCTGTGGTTAATGAATCTCAAGGAGACATTATTGTCCCATAAAGGAATTGGCGATTGGCGGTTTGTACACTTGACTCAAAATTGTCTCTTTTTGTTCTCCACAGACTAAAGCAGCCTACGTGCTTTTTTACCAACGTAGAGACGCAGACACACCGTCCAAATCCACCCCCTCCGCATCACTAGGTGGAGCTTCAGAGACCCCGGACGACCACATGGACACCAACTGATTTTCTTTTAGTCTTTCAAGGACTGGCACTGAAACAAAAACTACATAAAGATGAAATCAACAATGCATCGACGCACATCCCTGGCTACTTCAGTGACTATTAAAGGCTCACAAACAGGCCCTCTGTTTTTAGCTTTATTTTATTTTATTTTCTTTCACACATGCGTCTTTATCAAGAGCCAAAAAAGAATATTAATAATAAATAAAGAGAATTTTAGTTTGAAGCGTGACATGAAAGACTTTCTTCTTGGACCTCGATGCCTGCTGATTATAGAAGCTTGTTTCTTTCAGTGTGAAATGAGAACGAGGGTGAAACGGCGATGTAACCTCTTTGGACGACATGAATGTTAGGTGAAATAGATCAGGAGAGGGGAAATGCCTAAAAATAGACTATGTATGCAACATTACGCTTCTCTGAAATGTAAAATTATGCCTCGTCTACCCACTCACGTTGGACTCTAGCTATCAGCATCTTGTAACATGTGCCTCCTGTGAAGAATAGACTCTGTGTTTTTAATAACTTAAGCGTGTGGCACAGAGGTTCTCTCAGAGATGCTTGCGCTCTTATATTAAATATTGTCTCCAGGTTTCCTTTATCCTATCACAAGCCACACCTTTTGTTAAATATGCCATGCCGGAGAGTGTTGTCTTGAAATATTTCAAATTCAGAGCTGCTTAACTATATCACAATGTTAGGTTTATCATCACGATGTTTATTTAGGGCGAGGCTGATCTCTAATATATTCACACACAGCCTTCACACCCCAAATACTGTGCAAAGGGAAGCTTAAGAATCAGTGGAACAAGTGAACGTAAGTCACAGTCGTGCCCCAAAACAGTTCCAAAGCATCTCATTTCTGATCTGATGGTTTGTGCTTTAATAATGCTTCTTTTTTTTTTTCTCTTTATGGTGGATGTTTCTCTCTAAATGGCTTCAGTCCTGAGAAATATGGAGCCTGCTTGTAACACTTGAACAGGTATATGTACACAACAGAGAGGAACACAAAGAATGGCCATTGTTTTAATTAAGAACAGCCTTAAAGATGCAGCTGTCGTTATTACATGAAGGTGTACATTGGGAGATTTACCCTGCGTTTAGGTGTGGCATCATGTGTGTCGGATGACAGCTCATGCTGCTAAGAACATGATACACTTTCTTTTTCTGTGTGACAAAACAGCATGCAAATTTTGAAATCTGCAAAATGATAACTATATGGTTGTTCCTGGTGTTTACCTTTCTATGGCAAATCCACTGTTGTTATGGAAAAACAGCTATAAAATTAGGACTTGAACTGATCATTGACTCAAGCTCTATCCCCCTGCAGCTCCTAAAACATCAATTTAAACATTTTTGTTTGTTTTGTAATTTCATAGATCTTTCTTGCATAGATGTACATTATCATAATCTGGGGCACAGTACATAGCTGCTTCGTGTTCTATTTATCATGCCAAGATGTGCAACACCAGATTTTGGTTAAGCCTATTTGAATTGAAAATATAATAAAATGTGGAAGCTCACCTACCTATTATTTCTGTTTTACATTTTTTTTTAATAATACTTACATTCCTATAACTCAAACAGTAGTGTTGCTTTAGCAATGCCAAGGTTTGATTCCCATGGAATGCAAAAATATCTGAATAATGGATTAATTTAATCGCAAAATTATTGGCAGGAAAGACTTACACATTTAGAGCCAACTGTTTTCAGAGTACATTGGGAAAATGGTATTGATTTTGGCTGATGTAAATAGAAATGGGTGTATATGAATGTTAGAAAAGGCTATGTTTATTGAGTAATGTTAGGACATCATAAACACGAAGTGTGGAATAATTACGATTGTTTTAATGTTTTGGAAAGAGGTATCTTATGTTCACTAAGGCTGCATTTATTTGATAAAAATACATTAAAAACAGTAATATTGTGAAATATCACTATTTAAAAAAAATGCTTTTCTATGTATTTTAAAATGTAACTTATTCTTGTGATGGCAAAGCTGAGTTTTCTGGATCATTACTCCAGTCTCGGCTCTTTAGTGTCACATGATCCTTCAGAAATCATTCTAATTGACTGATTTGGTACTCAATGCTTATATTTTAGTTTTTCTAAATGAATAAAAAAATAGATTTTTTTTTATTTATTTAAAGGTCAAGTGCAACTGCTGAACATGTTTGGTCTAGTAACTGCAATGGGAAATTCTACTCCCAGCTCGCACACCCACACTAGAGATCAGTTTCCACTGGAGCTCATTAATACAGAATGAACCTCTAAAATGCACCTGATGATCAGTACCGTATTACATAACGGACAACACCCTAGAACTAGTCTGCCTAGTCTGCCTTCCAGTGCTCCCAAGCTAACTGAAGATGATTTGAAAGAAGGAAATCCTGAAACATGAGTAGAAAACACATACATTTATTGGTCCAAAATGCACATTGTGCCATACATGAGCTAAATGAAACTGTTCAGTTAGGACTTTTGCAGGACATCAGCTGTTCCCCACAGACTAGCTTGTTTACAGGAACATCTTCATGAAGTAAAAGTCCAAACTCAGCAACATCATGCACATGAGAGCACAAACTACCATGAAAACCTATTGGGGACCCATCTAGGTTCAGGTATGCACACAGGATTATTTTTGATTTATTTTGACACCCGTTTTACCCTTAAAAGACATTTTAATTGGCTGTGCTGAGAAGTTTCTTGATGTCTCCCTCGATGTTGCTGGTCAGGTATCTCCTGCTGTAGCGTTTGAACGGCACTCCATCAGAACCGATAAGAAACTTCTCGAAATTCCAAGCGATGTCGTTTCTGCATATGGGACTCCACACGATAAATTTGGGGTCGTTCATGAAGGTCATTGGGTCATCGAATGGGAATGGAAGTTTCTCCTTGAGGAAGACGAAGAGAAGGTGAGCGCCTTTCCCGTTCACGTCGACCTTCTCCAAGAGCTGAAATTTAGGTTCAAAGGCATTTCCTGGACGGATATACTTCAAGGACAAAAGTATCTCTTCATTTTGACAGTTTTCCTAGAATGAAAAGGCAACAGAATCACAAGCTATTTTGGAAATACTTTACAACAACATAGTGAGAATATAATTAAGGGTAAACGGTTAAGTATAGTCATGGTTCCATTATTGCGTTCATATATTAGGATAGGAGTAAAAATTATACAAAAAGCAGTAGAAAATCTCTAAAGTAAAATGTCTGTTACCTCAAGGAAATAATAAAAAAAAAAATACAACTGTTCTTATCGCACGAGCGTTGAATTACGTCAACAGATCCAACTTTTCATAATATATTAGTAAATGCAAATTTGCTAAATTTAACTGAGTTTTGCTGGGTTATGTAGTCTTACTGTTTTAAGAATATCTAAATGTATTATTAAATTAGCTAAATATTTTTTTTGTTTGAGATATTTGTAAAAATAAAGTAATAACATCCAAATAAATAAAATTAAAAAAAAACATTTGAAGATATGTAAATCCAAATTTATTGATTTTTCAAACTATTTTTATCTAACGTAATTAATGACATTTAAAGTTTTTTTTTTTGTAATTTATAAATAAATAAGTGATACTACAATTTACGTATGATTTATTTTATTTTTTGCCCTTAGTTTATAGATTTAAATCAGCAAAGATAAAAGAGCTGTAAAACAGACAGTAGGGCATGACAGGTCAAGTGCGCCACAGGCACCTGTCCTCCTGGGCTAATGAATGAATCAGACATGGTGTTTTTGTCCATTCCTACCTGATACCCGAACTGATTGCAGGGGACTCCCAGAATCACAAGCCCTTTATCCGAGAAGCGCTCGTGGAGCTCGTTCATCTGGGTGTAATCCCTGGTGGTCGTTCCTCAAAGAGAAGCGACATTCTCGATGAGGACCACCTTACCCTGTAAAGAAGAAAACTTGAACTCCTCTCCTGTGAGGGTTTTTGATGTGATGTCGTAAAACGATTTTATTCCAGCCATGTTTATTCCAACCCCGATGCCTTGCAACTAACTGGTACACGCACGCCACATAGGTATAGATCTAGGAAATAACACGATATAAAACTGTAAACTGAGGGGGCGGTCTTATATGCAGCTTGTCCAATCATTGCAAGACTCTCCACGCCCACTTTTAAATACACGCCCATAGAATATTAGGGAGTGTCACCAAAGTCTCCAGTATTCTATTTCGAGGTTGAACATGTTTATCTTATTATCTGTGGGCATGATGACGTGTTATTTGATGTATTGTGTCATTTTAGACTTATAAAGATAGATATAGTTAAGACACGAAACATACAGCAACGCCTCAAAACAACTATCAATACAGAATTGAGAATTTTACCACGACCCCTAAATTGTACAAACCACTGGCGCGCTTTGAGTGTGACATTAGCCTGGTTACGAAAACATACATTTTATGCTACAGTGTCAATTTATTAACATAACATCTAAACGACAAGCGTTTAAGATCAGCATCGCGCGGGGAGTAACCTTGACGTAAACACTTCTGACGACACTTACGGTAATTTCGTCGAGTTCGTCGACTGTGTAATTTACGTTAGCTCTTGCCATGTCAGTCTGTCTCGAAATGATTGTTTACATTCTCCCGAGATAAATTCTGGGATTGTTTGAACCACAACTGTAATTATTAAACTGTCAGAGTGCTTCAGATTTAATCTAGCCCATGTGAAAAAGGTTATTTGTGTTATCCCTAATCCTAACAGGTAACATCTGTTACTTTAACATTTCCATCTGACCCGATCTGAGCTAAAGATGATGCGTAAGAAGAAGCGCTCATCGTCCATCACAGTGGAAGAAGATTCCACACTTGACATTCCAAGTAAGTTCCTGATGACGTCACATCTCAAATAAAGCGGGAAACCTAAAATCAGTGTACATTAGGTGTAATTAAAAATATGTATTGCTGGACTGTAATGATGTGTCTTCATTTGTACAGAGTCAAAAAAGACCAAGAGCAGTGGCCGACCCACAAAGCCTTCAGTACAGGACACCAACCCAGACTCAGTTTTTGTTCACTTTCTGAAGGAATCAGGTGTTATTTTAACACCTGGCAGTACTGCTAATGAAATTGGTAAGATTACAGATAATCAAGTATGCATACAATAAAGGTGAACACACAAGAAAAACATACATGTTCAGATTCCATTGACATCTGTCACACAATCCTTTATGTATTATAACAGCTGTAGACCAGGTTATATTTCAAAAGAAACTCCAGCAGCATCTACGAAAGAGTCCCAAATTCCCCAATGTGAGAAACTGATCATCATTATATCACTTTTTTCTTTTTACAGAAGTAGTATACACTGTTTACATTGTTGAATGGCTGTTTTGTAGATAATTCAGGAGTTTATATCTGCACTGGAAACATACATTGAAGACCCAGAGAGATTGAGAAACTGTCTTCTGCCTTGTGTGCCATCATCCACTTCACAGCAGGATGCCACGTAATGCACTTCTTGTTTTTCCAACTTTCACATTTTAATTTAAAACATTTCAAGATTTAATTCAAATGTTAAATGCAAGTGTTTACTCTTATATACACTTATTTGTTCATTTTTCCTCTGACATCAGTTCTGGCTCCTATCAGGAAAGTCTGGTACGCTTGTTGCTAGGAATAGAGATGCTACAGGTAAACAAATCGGCACAATTTACCTCAAAACAAGAGACAACTTAAGTCTATTTATAAATATTTATTTTCTTTTTCTTACAATTTGACTCGGCACATCAGTCTGAATTAAAATTATTTTGTATTATATAGAATCATTTTTTGCTTATTGTTGTTATAATCTTAAGTGTCTAGAAAGATCATGGAAAATAATTAGTAAAAAAATGTAGTCCTTTTACTTGATCTGTTGAATATTTATTAATACTGTATTTAGTGAATTAATTGCAGCTGTTGTTACTTATTACATTTCTTTTTGTTCCAAATATTTTGGTAAGAATACAAGTCATATAAATGTTTCATTTTCCTTCATGTAGACCCTGGTCATAAACACTTTGTTTGAAAAGCTTCCAGAATTCATGTTTGAGGGGTAAATTTCCACTTTTTGTACACATTACTTCAAATACAAAAAAGTCCGGTATCATTCGCTCATCAGTGATTGTAATGAGCTCTCTTACAGAGTTAGTGAGGATGGCCTCAACGTTCCCCGTCTCATCATAAACCAGTTAAAATGGCTGGACCGAATTGTAGACGGCAAGGTACACAGTCCTAGTCCAGTGATGAATATGTTCCA